AAAAGTTTACCTAAGTATGTTTCAATTCTACATGGTATTTCACGTGGTAAATCAAGCTCAGCCTACACTTCTATGTGGTGATACTATTATATTTAGAGATCTGGACCTCTCATATTGAATAAAGAAATGTTTAATTACCTTGTAGTTCAGTAATGACACCTCATAAATTTAATTGTGCTTCACTGTTTATAAAGATAAAATACCACTGTGTTTTAGACTTAATCTATTTGCATCTAATCTTGCTTCCAAGGACAATATAATTAGTTGCTTATCTGTTTTGAGAATTATGTATGAAGCTTTAGCCAAAGATAAAAGTTAATTATGTTTTATGTTATGACCTATGAGAAAGGCTGTAATTTTGGTACTTTCAGAGGAAACGAAAAGACGGGCAGTCTCCCTGCCAGGGACATGTACGGCCCCATCCTCCTCATCAACCACATGGGTAGATATTGTTTTTTATAGGTTACAGAAGATTTTAATATTCATATACAGCCCTATAATCTAGGGCTAACATTGCCCTCTTTTTTGAGATGAACGTAAGTTTATAGAGGTTAAATAGCTTACTTAAGAGCATCTAGCTTATAAATAGCAGATCCAGGGCTTAAACTCAGGTTTTTTGACACTAAACAGTGTGTTCTGGGAAACCACAGGCCCCACACACTGGCTCTGCTTTGGAAAGGTTGGCAGATTCTGGTGGACTCTTGTTGGGATGGCCTCTGTTTACATTTGATAGTAGTCACATTACTGTTCCATTCAGAATACTATGGTCCAGATGTTGTGCTAATAGTTTCGTAAGCATCCATCCCATGGGTAAAGGGTATTGTCCCCATTGTACAGTTGAGAAGACTGAGGCTTGAGGAGGAGGAACAACAGCGCAGAGCTGACACTCAGACCACCTGACTCCCAGGCTCATGCTCTCACCAGACCTCTCACTGATGTCTGTAGCAATCTATCTGCCTTCGTGTGGCTGGATTCATTCTGAGGGCCTCCTTTTGTCCTGAACTCTGGGCTCCCCCTCTTTGTTGCTGCCTCTGCCCAGTTCACAGGGGAAGTTTTCATTGTCTCCCATGCGCCCCGTCGCTTGGACCCATTGCAGACAGGACGCCTACACCTGGCTTGTTCACCGGCTATTGCCGAGGGAGGCCTCCTTAGTTTCCTTTCCTCTTCTAATACGTTTATGCTCAAAAAGGTCCCTCTTTTGCTCTGAAATTCCACTCGGGAAGAGGGGGTGGCAGAGAGAAGGTGGAGGGCAAAGCGAGTCCCCCGCGCTGCACAGGCCGAGCGTGCCCGGTGCTGGTGAGCAATGCGGAGCAGGGGCCCCGCGTGTGGGAACCAGCGTCCCGGGCCTGAGCCCCGGCTCCGTGGTAACAGTGACGACAGTGGGATCCTGAGCGAGGCCTTTTCTCTGGGCCTCATTTCCCCTTCTCCAAAAAGAGGCAGTTGGATTAGATGGTTAATATTTTTGATTTTCTAAGTGGCCGGGTATTTGTGCTCTCCTGGTGAGGGGAAGCAAGAAGGAAGGAGGGGAGAGGGAGAGAAGATGAGGGCTTCACGGGGAACAGCTCAGGGCTGGGGCCATAATAACAGCCCTGCCGGGGCTCAGGAGAGGGTCTGGAGGGGTCAACACCACATTTTCTACCAGGGGTGCTGCAATGTTGAAAAGTTATCACTCTTAACTTTGATCTTCGTAATTCTGGCCACAGTTCCACACATACTGTCAAAATAGTTAAAAATTTTAAAGCGTTTATTTACTTTAATACTGAAATCACTCAATGTTCTTTTCAAATAGATTAGAAAATACAGATACGCAAAAGAGCAATGGATCTAGACCAATAATCTTCAAACTTCTTTAACTTTATACCACCAGCCATTAGTTTTTGAGCATGCATTCCCAATTTGTTTATTTATATACATTATAAAACCCATTAAAGTGCAAATTAAGAAAGATAACAACATAAAAAAATAAAGCCGCAGTGTCCTGAAGCCCAGTGGAGTGTCAGGCACCCTGCCCCTCTGGAGACCACTGGTTAACATCTAGCAACATTGACTGTGAGCTCTGAGAAGACTGAGGACGGTCTGACAGGTCTGTTTTCCAGAAGGCTCCCATCAGAAACACCACACACATTTTTCAGCTGGACGAGTGGAGAGTGGGGGTGGGGAAAGAGCACAGGACCCTGTGAGAAGAGAGGAGGTTGGCTCTGAGCCCTGGCTGTGTGGTGACTCACTGACATTTTCACTGAGACACAGGACTCTTGGGAGGCAAGCTCTACACTTCACCTGCCAAGCCAGGCCCTTCAGAGCTGGCAATACTGTGTTTCTGCGACACTGAGGCAGCTGCTGGTATTAGAAAAACCACAGGATCATGGAAAGTCAAGACTGATCCTGATCGCAGCCTATCTAGGGAGAGCCCAGAAAATTGGCTTGACCCCCAAATTGGTGTGCCCCAAATCTTGCAGCTAGTTTGTGGTTAGAAGGAAGCCTTCATGTTAGATTGTGGCAGCACCTATGGGCATTTAAATAAGTGTTTAGAAAATCTCGTTTGCTTAATGAGTTAGTTCCCAGCAATTCAAGCTACTGCAACTGTTGTGCTGATGATTCCTGTTTTGGGGGAGGGGCCCATCCCCTCCCCAGACCTAGAGCTGGTAGATTTCAAAGGTTCCTTCTCCAGCTTTGGAAGCTATTGGGTTCTGGGGTGACATTTGCTAAACCACGCTGATGAAAGTGTGGAACACTCACCCTAAACCTCACATCCCTACCATGTGTGTGTGTGTGTGTGGTGTGTCCTTGGGTGTCTTAGCATGAAATAAACATGTTTAGATCACTGCCTGGTGCACAGTAGGTTTCAATAAATGCTACTTCCTTGCCTTCCTTTTGTGCCTTTGTCCCGGCTGCTGCCTTTCTCTCCAAATCCCAGCCCCACTCACATCCTTCCCTGACTCACTTGAATCCCCGCAGTCACTGGGGCAAACGCTCCTTCCTGGGAATCCCTCCAGCACTTGCTGTCTGGATCATGCAATTTAGGACTTAATTACAGCCGGCCTGGCATTGTCCGCTAATTGTTCCACTGTCGTTGCCCCACCCCAACCCCGTTAGTCTGTAGGTGCCCCTGGCCTGAAGCGGGAGATGCGCTGGACTCAGGAGGGCTGGACTCACTCCTCCGTCTGCCGCGTCCTGAACAAATTATTTAACCTCTCAGCTTCAGTTTTCAACTGCACCATGGAGATAATGACACCACCTCGCAGGGCTGTTGCCGGGGATAATGGGTGTGAAAGTGTTGTCTAAGATGTAAATCACTGTACAGAGGTAAAAGGCTGTTATTATCACCTCTGCTGAATCCAGCCGAGCCCCCGCGCACCTCCCCTGCCTGGTGGAGTGGAGAAGATAAATACCTGATTGATTGGATACAGAATAGCTTTGTGACAGCTGCTGTTACAGGCTCGAGAGAGCACGGGTTGGAGCCTAATCTTGCAATTACTCCCTTCACCGACAATGCAAAATCTCCTGCTTTCACTGGAGACTGGAGTACCTTCGCCTTGGGCTGATGAAGCCGGGGCTGCTGCCCTGTGAACAGAACTGCACCCCCAAACGACCCCGGGCTGCACCACAGCGCCCTCGACGGGCAACACGCGGGACGGCGGGAGCTGCTTTTGCTAAGGTGGTGGCTGGGGACAGGCGTTCCGGGGGCCTTACCCGCAGAAGGCTCGGCAAGCACACGGGATCACTAATCCTGTCCTGTGAAAGGTCTCGCAGCATCCGTGGAAGCGTACGGAATATTTCCCTGCACACTTTATAAATGTGAGAAAGGAGCGTGCACACAGCAGCCACCCACCGGCAGTGAGAAAGAGCAGTGGCTTCTTCGGGAGGTTTTGCTGAGAAGCCAGGCGTTTACTTTTCCCCGCTACGTTGAGAACTCTGGTGTAGGCTGGGTGGGAAACGCCATGCAGAGCTCCTCTTTTGTTAGCCTCACGAACAATGTTATTGGTTATAATTGGGCAATTATGGGCTGCTCGAGGAAGCGAAGCACAGATGTTTAAGCCCGGGATCGGGGTGTTCAAGTCCAAAGCAGCTTGCTTTAAATAGTCCGTTTCCCGAATCATCCTGCCTGACTTGAAATTCCCCCAGAACTTGCCCATGTTTAGAGTGAGATGGGGGAGGAGAGGATGGGTGATGGAGGGAGGGGAGAGTCACGCAGGGAGAGAGGCGCACAAAGACAGGAGAAGGAAGGGGAGACGGAGAAAGAACGAGAGAGTTTGGGTGACTTCGGCACATCCTGTCCCACGGGACCCCGGCAGAGACCTTTAGTGGGAGATGGGCAGGAGGAGAAAGATACAAAGGAGGAGAAGAGACCTCGAAATGACTCAGGGTCTGGGAGACCAAGGTCATCCCTGCAGCAATCGATGTGAAATTCACACGCGGCGACGGCCACCGGCCATGTGCAGGTCCCACACAAAGCCCCAGGTCCGACTTGCCCCACAGCATCCCTAACAACTCCCGTTCAGTGCACATGGGAGAAGGGGTCCCTCAGGACCGAAAGCCCAAATCCAAATCCACCAGCCCGAACACACCACGAGGGAAGGAAAGAAAGGATTTCTCAGCCGCACAGAGAAACCACTCACAAGGGTGCCGGGGGGCTTCCCGGGGCTGCCCTGAAAGGCAACCCCCCCCCAAGCTACCCCTTCTGTCACCTCACTTCTATAGGCACCTTTTCTCGACAGATGGAAACGACAAAGTAGGGGCCACATCTGCGAAATCAAACTTTTCCTCATCTCTAAGTTCGGCTTTCTTCTTCTGCATCTGTCTTCAGGATAAACCCCCCCAAGGCTCCCCCCTCCCCCCTCCATCCGAGCATTGAAAATAAAACAAATGAAGAAATCATCTCAGGGAGGACAGCCGCATCGGCCCTGGACAAAGGAGAGAGGCTGAGGGGGGGCCCCGCTGCCCTGCGTTCCCCCAGGGCTCCGGCAGCTCGCCTCGGGCTGGGCTTCGCGTGCATCGCCTACCTGAGAGCTGTCGGTACCGGCTCCCTCGGATGTGAGGCTCGGATCCGCCGTCTCAGCCACGCCAGCATATATATCCTTCCCCCACAGGCACAGCCCTCCCCTTCCCTGCCCACCTCGATGACACATACACGCGCTGACCCCCCTAAGCAAGTGAACAGCAGAACCTACAGTCCTTCCTGGCTGCTCTCCGCCCCCTGGCTCTGTGCTCAGACCTGTGACATCCCAAACTCCCCACCGGTCCATTCATTCTCCAGCCCGCTTTACCTGGACCCTGTTCAGCCAGGACCCCGCAGCCGCCTTCCCCCTCGCTTCCAGAGGCACTGTGAGGACTGACAGCCTTTTCTGGTAAGTCAGTCAGAAAAAAAGACTCCTGGTGACAGTGATGAGGCAGACCCCAGTCCTCCAGTCTCCTTGAGCAACCTTTTTGCCTGAGGAGTAAAGACTAGGAAGCGCGCAGAAGGAGGGGAGGCGCACGCCAAGCTCTCACTGGCTAGGAGGAGCCCGGAGCTGAGCCGAGCCCCCTCCTCCTGTCACTGTCCCACGGGCGGCAGCGACTGTGCCACTCTAGGGAGTGGCTCTACCTGCCATGGTCTGGGTCAGGAGGCAGTTCGCAGGTGCCCACAGTGTGGCACGATGTAAAACGCTGAGACGTTAGAGTGAGACCGAAGGGTCTGAAATTCTGCCCTGGCTGTCAGAGCAAGTGACTTCTCTTTGCAAGCCTCAGGCCCTCCTCCTGTAAAATGGGCGTAACACCTTCGGGGATGGCTGTGAGTAGCAAAACAAGATTCTGTTTGTGTTCGGAACACAGAAGACCTTTAAAAAATGTGAGTTCTGCACCCGCTCCGCCCTCTCCGCATTAGATAATGCCAACGGGACCTAAAAAGCCCCTGTCAACATCTAGTGTCACAGCAGAATGCTTTTAAAGCTGCTGTGGACTTCAGGGTGTCACCCCAAGTGCCTCGGAGGATCGGAAGCTATCGAAGATGCTCCCACCACTCAGTGTGGAGCCCCCTTCCACACTTCCCTGCAGGAAGGCAGCTCCCAGGCAGCCCAGGCAGGGAGTGTTTAGATTCTGCAGTGTCCTTACGGAGCCCTCCTTTCCTTGCCCTAGGCGAATCGCACCGTGACCTCCTCCTTGGCTTTTCCAAGAAGATCTGAAAACATTCCAGAATCCCTATGTTGGAGCCTATGTTGTCCAAGGAGCTCAGGCACCTTCTCATGTGACAAGTCAGGCTCTCCCATCAACCCAAGAGAAGAGTTAAAGAAAGCACGCGCTCTGACTGCTAATAAATACGGGGTTTCTTTCTGGGAGGGTGGAAATATTCTGGAATTAGGTAGTGCTGGTTGTTGCACTACCTAATTAAAAACCATTTAGTTGTATGTTTAAGAATGGTGAATTTTATGTTACGTGAATTATATCTCAGTGAAAGTTAGATAGGAATGCCCTGGCTGGTTTGCTCAGTGGTTAGAGCATCAGCCCTTGGAGTGAAGGGTTCCAGGTTTGATTCCAGCCAAGGGCACACACCTCAGCCTCAGTTGCAGGCTTGCCCCAGTTGGGAGGCAACCAGTCGATGTGTCTCTCTCACATCGATGTTTCTCTCTCTCTCTCCCTTCCACTCTCTCTGAAAAAGCAATGGAAAAAATATTCTCAGGTGAGGATTGAAAAAAAAAATGAAAGAAAGAAAGAAAGAAAGAAAGAAAGAAAGAAAGAAAGAAAGAAAGAAAGAAAGAAAGAAAGAAAGAAAGAAAAAGAAAGAGCGAGCCTGCCCTAGGAAAAGAGCAACAAATTCTAACAAGCAAATTTCCCTCCATCAATATTCATAGCAAAAGAGCTCAGAAGACTAGCACACTCATGATTTCCCACTTAGATCTCTATTGCTGGAAACTTACACTTTGTCACTGTACCACATGACATATGGTCAGATATATGTATATTGGGGTCCCAGGTCTGAAGCTTGATTGAACACATGCCTTGGCAGATATTGCTGGTTGTCTACCCAATACCCATACCCCTGCTCTTCCTTACTAAACAATACCCTTTATTTTATGCTAGGCGGCAATCTGTTCTGCTAAAAGACTATATTTCCCAGCCTTCCTTGCAGCTATGGGTAGCCAATGAAAATCAAGCTGCTAATCATTGTGTGGGGCTTCCAGGAACATTGTTAAAAGGGGGCCAATTTAGCTAGAAGAGGCCTCTTCTTTGCCCTTTTTCCTGCCTGACTGGAACAAATGTGATGGCTGGAGCTCTTGCAGCCATCTTGGATCATGAGACAACTTTGAGGATGAAAACCATGGACTAAAGACGATGGAGCAATAAAGACAGAAGGACTCTGGGTCTCCGATAACTATGAAGCTGCCACACCAATCATGGGTTTCCAACTTCCAACTTTTTTAAAAAACAGATAACACTCAAATATTTATTTCAAATATAAGTCAGGGTTCAGTAAGCTGTTTCTGCATAACAAGCCACACCAAAGTCCGAGGTTTTAACAACAACCCATTTATTTGGCTGGTGATACTGCAAATTAGCGATTTAAGCTGGGGTCAGCAGGGTGGTTCTTCTGCAGTCAGCTTCAGGTTGACTTCAAGAGGTTGGCGGGCTGTCAGCTGGGGGCACTTTGGTATGCTTATCCTTCAAGGGTCTCCCATATCCTTTCAGCAGGCTGGTCTCATAGGAAGGCTGAGGTGCAAGCACAAGCAAGTACAGCCAAGCAAAGGAACAAGCAGAAGCATGTAGAATCCTTTGGGGCCTAAGCTCGGAGCTGGCACTCCATTGCTTCTGCTGCTAAAGGCAGTCATAAAGCCATCCAGAGCCAGCTTGAGTGGAGACTACAGTTACAGGATGAAGGGTGTGGCTAGACAGAGGCTGTTCCTTGGAGCCGTTGATTGATAACTTTAATCTACCATGTTCTCTTACATGCAGTGGAAAAGCATCTGACATGATATACTTCTCTTTGAGCACCTGGTCGTTTCCAGGGCATTTGGTACCCAAGGGCTTTTCTTCCCTTGCAGTTGAGGGGAAAGAAAATGCAAAACTGAAAACCACTTAACTTCTTTGAACTTTCCCGCCTCACTTAGCCCATCAAAGAGTTGGACCCAATGGCCTGGAAGTTCTCTTTGTGGTAGGCAGTCTCCTACGATGCATGACGGAAGGACGGGAGGGAATCAGGGAGGGAGTCTGCAACTTGTTGTGTAGCGGCATAAAAATCTTGCCTCTGAGAAAAGCAAGAGAGGACTAGACAACGTACAAATTGTGTGGTGCTTACGATCACTCAAAAGCTTTTCCCTTGGGTTTTGCCGCTGAATCATGGCGCCTTGAGGTCCATGGGGTAACTTGTCACTGAGCAGCAAGCGGCCCTGTTCTTCTGACTGACAGTATACATTTTAAAAAAATCAATGGAGAGGAAAGGGCACACAGCCTTATTTCTAGTGATAATGAGGCAGTGGAAATTCACTTCTGCCCATGCCAGCTTGCCATCCTCTTGCAGTAGAGAGGCCCAAGCCAGAGTGGTGGCAAGAGTTAGACTCCATTCACTTCTGACAGGTAAGTCTTAGAAGCTCGTAAAACAACCCCTGGAAAAATGTGAATAGAGAGGGTACAGGGAGAAGAAGGCAGCCGTAGCTGGGCTCCCATGTTGGACTCCTGGAGCCTCCACCTACCCGGCAATTTTCCCCTCTCAGAGGAGAAAGGGTATTTGGCTGTTCAGAATTTTCTGATTAATTACGGTACCTACAGCCAATTGGTCTCCTTAGTAACCACACTAGCACGGTCCCAGCTGGAAAAGCTTCTTCTTATTTTCAAAGAGGGCAAACCCTCTTCACATTTTAAAACACCTTTAATCAGAACACAGATGGATTTTTAAAACAGAGAGACACCCAAGTTTCTCCACAACTTTGCTTATAAAATTCATACGGGCTTTTGGGTTATTGAAGGAAAGTTGAATTTATTAATCAGTAAGAGCTAGGTTTCTTGAAATTGATTTTAGAGAGAGGAAGGGAGAGAGAGATATACTGATTAGTTGTTCCACTTATTTATGCATTCATTGGTTGATTCTTGTGTGTGTCCTGACCGGGGATTGAACCCGCAACCTTGGCGTATCAGGACAACGCTCTAACCAACTGAGCTGCCCAGCCAGAGTAAGAGCTAGGCTTTAAAGAGAGAGAGTTAGGCAAGTACAATTTCAAGGCAAAGAGCCAGTGATAGCCCTTACAAGTGCGGGTTTCATTACCCAGAGTTTCCAGCCAAGTGATGTGCTAGATGAGGGGAGAACAAGAGAGTCCTGGATTTAAGTGTCCTTGCCCCTAAGAAGGAGCCTGGGGGACAAGACATACTACTGAGTGATGGCCAGAACAGCACAGACTAGGGTGACTCAGACAATTAGAAAATTAGAAAGCACATAATAAGGTGCTAATTGAAGATCAGACTGGAAGTGAAAGAGAAGTTTGAATCAAAGGGAGAGATGATGTTTATCTTACTTGTTGAACAATATGTTAAGATGCTGAGGAATAATTGCAGATTCTGAGTGGGTGGAGAAGCGACAGCCTCAATATGGGCAAGTGTAAGGGTTGGGGGTATACTTGTCTGCTAGGGACTGCCGCAGGAAACTGCCACAGACTGGGGGGCTTCAACAACGGGCATTTATTTTCTCACCATCTGGAGGCTGGAAGTCTGAGATGAAGGCGTCAGCAGGTTCTCCTGAGGCCTCTCTTCTTGGCTTGCAGGCGGCCGTCTTCTCCCTGTGTCCTCACAAGGTCTTCCCTCTGATCATGTCTGTGTCCTAATCTTCTCTACTTACTAGGACACCGGTTATATTGGATTAAGGCCCACCCTAGTGACCCTATTTAACCTTAATCACCCCTGTAAAGACCCTGTCTCCAAATACACTCACATTTTGAGGTATTGGGGGTCAGGACTTCAACACACAAAATGTTTTTTTGGGGGGGTAGGAATAATTCTGCCTATAAGAGAAGGAAAATGATACTGTGCCCATCCGATAAAGGGGATAAAACTGCAGAAAGGGAACTAAAGGTCACTAGGACAATATGCACAGTGGGTGCACAGTGGGTTCCTTCCACCCTCTTGCTCCCAGGCTCAGGTATTGGTTTCCTCAGACACCAAGCTGACAATGTATGTCCTGCTTTGTCACATCAGTGTCCCTGTAACACCCATATGAG